CGAATATGTCACTAGATTATTATTATGTAATTCTCGAAATAAATTTTATTTCAATGCTACTATTTTGAGGACGCAACGACCGACGTCTCCCACTTTCAATCACGTACAAATTCACACAGTATATAAACACAGTGAAACCGATGCAAAGACATCAATTTGATCTTCAACAATCAAACAAACACATCATGTTCAAATACGTAAGCACTCTATCATTTATTTATATAGGTAAATGATTTATTAATATTTTTTTTTTTTAGGTTGTATTCGCTGCTCTTTTGGCTGTAGCCTTCGCTGATCCAGAACCTAAGGCTAAACCAGGTGTCTTGGCTGCCGCTCCAGTCGTTGCTACTCCGTTGGCTTACTCTGCTGCTTACACTAGTCAACTTGTCGGTGCTGCTTACGCTTCACCGTACGTCGCATCTCCATTGGCTTACTCTGCCGGTTATGCAGCTCCAGTTGCTTACTCCGCTCACCCGGCTGCCTATTCTGCTTACCCAGCAGCCTATTCTGCTTACCCAGCTTACACTTCACCGATTGTCAAATATTTGTAAAAAAAAAGCTGAACCGAAACAAAAACAATAAAATGAATTAAGAAAATACGTACACTATTATTAACTATCTTCTATATACCCAATTCTTTTGTTTACATAAATAAGGCATTGATTTTTTTTTTAATTAATGGAGAAAAGTAAATTATATCATTTTGAATGTATAAATAAAAACAATCATAGTTTTTAAAGCAGTCCAAAACAGGAAATTATGTAATAACTTTGATAATTTAATGAATGGAAAAATAATGGAAATGAGTATTTTTTAGTATTTGTTATTGTATAATTACTATAGATTATTGGAAAAATTATACTTTAATCAAGTTTTGAACACATAACCGAAAGAATTTTTTATTTTTTTTTGTCTAAAAACAGTGGTACATAAAAACTTTAATCTCATCTTATGTAGCTGCTAGAATAACTTGATTTTTTTTAATGTTTAGTGCCAAATATGAAACATTATACAACAACATCATACAAAATTATGTATAATTAGAGTAAAACTATTTTTAGGGTATAATAAACTTTATACGGAAAGAAACTGTTATATGCGATTTCATGCAACAGTTTCTTTCATTATTTAGACACAATATTTTGTGCAAATTATATATTTTTTTTTCTGTAGAGCTTGGATATTTGTATCTTGACCTATTTCATTATTTGGGGATATCTACTATTAACTACTACTACTACTACTATTAACGATTTCTTATATTTAACCTTTTTTTCTCAAATTTGTGAGCTTTTCAATTAATAAAATAATAAAAATTATTACCATATTCTATCACATAAAATATTTTACTTGCATTTTTTTTTAATACACTATAGTTCAAATCACGATTTTCATAATGCCAACATATATTTTGTTTATTAAAAGGTTACTTCATTTTCATATTTCAGTTAATATTGATTTTTAATTGATTTTTTTAATCAATATTATATCTAGGTGGAAAAATAATATATAAAAAATACATGTAATATTTTATCAATTCAATTTATTGTTCTTGATTAAGTTCAGATTCTATTTAAAAATATTTGACAATCGGTGAGGTGTAAGCAGAGTAGGCTGCTGGATAAGCAGAATAGGCAGCCGGGTGAGCGGAGTAAGCAACTGGAGCTGCATAGCCGGCAGAGTAAGTCAATGGAGATGCGACGTACGGTGAAGCGTAAGCAGCACCGACAAGCGGACTCGTGTAAGCAGCAGAGTAAGCCAATGGAGCAGGAACAACTGGAGCGGCAGCCAAGACACCTGGTTTAGCCTTAGGTTCTGGATCAGCGAAGGCTACAGCCAAAAGAGCAGCGAATACAACCTAAAAAAAAGAAAATATTAATAAATCATTTGGCTATATAAATATATGATAGAGTGCTTACGTATTTGAACATGATGTGTTTGTTTGATTGTTGAAGATCAAATTGATGTCTTTGCATCGGTTTCACTGTGTTTATATACTGTGTGAATTTGTACGTGATTGAAAGTGAGAGACGTCGGTCGTTGCGTCCTCAAAATAGTAGCATTGAAATAAAATTTATTTCGAGAATTACATAATAATAATCTAGTGACACATTCGTAACAATTGCAGTGTAATAGTGCACATTCCTAACTAATCGCAAAAGATTAAAGCTTTGATTAAAATGCATTAAAATCACTTTTGCTAATATTTTCTAAAATGTTAATTTAATAAACCAACCTGTCGGTTTTGTATCTAGTATATCTATTTGAATATTAAAGAAAATGGGTTGCAGTGGAACCTCGCTTAACTCGCACCTCGCATAATGAACATTTCGCTTAACGAGCAAAATGAATTGTAAGAAAAATGACTCGCTTAACGAGCAACGTTTCTCATAACGAGCGACTATGAGAAGAGAAGATCCGGATTGCGCGCCTACTACAACATTTTTAAAACTTGTGTACGCATATTATGTGTATTTTTGAATATGTTTCACTATACGAGTAAAAATCGGGAAATTTTGGAACGAATTAAACTCGTTAAGCGAGGTTCCATTGTATATTAATTGAAAATCTCACAAATTTGAGAATAATTGTTAAACATAAGAAATCGTTTATAAATTTTGATTTGATAATTTTTTGATTTCTGATAGTTTTGACCATTTTCCCCATTGGAATGAAAGAAATCGGCCAAGTTACAAATATCCGTGCTGTACAGAAAACATATGTAATTTGCACAAAATATTGTGTCTTAATAATGAAAGAAACTGTTACTTGCATGAAATCGCAAATAACAGTTTCTTTCCGTATATAGTTTATTATACCCTCAAAATATTGAAAAAGTTTTACTCTAATTATATACACTTTTGTATGATTTTGTTGTACAAAAGTTCCATATTTAGCACAAAACATTACAAAAAATCAATATAATATATTTTGCTAATTTGAAATTGGGGTAAATGGGAAAAAAAAAACAGTGTACGTATTTTCGTAATTCATTTTATTGTTTTTGTTTCGGTTCAGTTTCTATTTACAAATATTTGACAATCGGTGAGGTATAAGCTGGGTAAGCAGAGTAGGCTGCTGGGTAAGCAGAATAGGCAGCCGGGTGAGCGGAGTAAGCAACTGGAGCTGCATAACCGGCAGAGTAAGCCAATGGAGATGCTACGTACGGTGAAGCATAAGCAGCACCGACAAGCGGACTCGTGTAAGCAGCAGAGTAAGCCAAGGGAGCAGCAACGACTGGAGCGGCAGCCAAGACACCTGGTTTAGCCTTAGGTTCTGGATCGGCGAAGGCTACAGCCAAAAGAGCAGCGAATACAACCTAAAAAGATAAAATAGTAATAAATCATTTAGTTTTAAATAAATGATAGAGTGCTTACGTATTTGAACATGATGTGTTTGTTTGATTGTTGAAGATCAAATTGATGTTGATTGACTCATTCGCCGTGGTTTTATACCCGAAATTCGATGTCGCAAAACGTGGTTCTGCTACCGTTACACCATTGCAGGAGGTGGTGGTGGTGCATCGTGCGACGAACCAAAAGGACGCGACCTCGCGCGTCGCAGTATTAGCAATGAAAGAATTGTTACAATGACCATTTGCGCAACCGGTCGGACAAAACACGGAATGATTATCTTCCAGAATTTACCTCGCTTCCATATTAAACGCGTTAAGAAACATCGTGCAGTTCTTCTTTTGTTTTCTGCTTAGCCTTTGCTTTTTGTTGTTGTTTTGTTTGACAGTGGAATTACAAAATTGAGACTTGATTCTAGAAATGTATTCCTCGTAATAATCGAGGCACGCTGTCTAGACTGTTTACGTTTAACGTAATACGCGACGTGCGGATGGCACGGAATCGTTCTTCATTTCTAGTTCAAGTTACAAAACGATCATTTACATGAAAATTTCAAATAGAAAAGGACTATTTTCCAAGAGAATACATTAAATCTTCAACACGATCTTTTTACGCAATGACAATGATTTGTTTATAGTTTTTTTTTCTTTTTAATGTTGTTTCATTAACGTTTTTATGAATGAATGTCATGAGCGTTAAGACCTTGATGTCTTGTACTATTTACAGGTATAATATGTGTTTTGATTGTTATTAAATATACTTAAAAATGACCTACATTTCTTGTTTTGTTATTATTTTACAATTAGATTAATTCTTGACAAAAAAGTGAAAGTTCATGTACTAGTTATATTCTCATTAATAATAGAAGTATCTGCTTTTGTTAAAAGTTTTTCAGCATTATTGATCATCGACTTGAGGTTAAAATTTGAACATTTACCATATTCCTCTTATTATCTAAAATATATAAACGAAATTGATCACTTTTGGTTAACTTTCATCAAACATCACCACTGCATTCATTTGTTTTTTCATTATGTACCTTTTTGTTTTAATATTTAATTACTTAAATTAAGGATTATTTTCTTTTGAGAAATGAGACTTTGTAAAATATGAAAAAAAATATCTAAATATTACAGAAAATTATTTTCTTGTTCTTTTAGAAGGAAGAATTTTGCAAGTCGAAAAACTGCTCTTCTGAAATGTGTAAAAATTCATCAATTTTGGTTAAGAAAATGCAATAGAAAAAGAAAACAATTTGCATTATACAATTTTCTTTTATTAGATTAGGTCATTGTTTCATTAGCACGCAAGGTCGAGGCTCCTTATGTGAATGCAATCGACAAACTAAATTCCTATTTAAATTTGAACCTTATACAATCAATCAATGTAATATGCAAATAAATTTAATATTTTTTTATTGTCGTTATTAACTAATTATTCCGAGAGATATGATTTTGAGTCAATTTAAGTGAGTTATTTTCACTATATTAAGTTCTCTAATTCTTCATTATTCGAATATTTTTTAAATTGATTTTAAAACTGGGATTTTAGTAAATATTTCAGACATGTGAATAACTATTTATCATAAGTTACTAAATTTATTTAGAATATGTAATTACATAGATTTGATAAATGTAATGTAGATTTACATGTGCATAAATGTTATTCTATATAGTTGATAAGTTTATATTACTAGATTTTTTTTTATAAGTGATTCTGCAAATATTTATAAATTGGTAGTTGACATGTGTCATAACTTAAATAATGCATGTTTTTAGGTTAGTTTTGCAACAAATATAGGTTTTAATTTATGTAGATTCAAATTTGGAATGATTTTTCAATTGTATCTAAGGAGTAAATGGAATTAAGTAAAATGCGAATATATGTTTTTCAGTATTTTATTTGCTTAAAAATGTAGTCGTAGTCTTTGATCCTGTTTTTAATAGTATTTGACGAGTGGAGCGGCGTAATGAGAGTAAGCCGAGTAAGCGTACGGTGAAGCGTATCCAGCGGAGTAAGCATAAGGAGATGCCACATATGGAGCAGAGTATGCGGAGTTGATGAGTGGACTTGTGTAAGCAGCAGAGTAAGCCAACGGTGAAGTGTAAGCCAATGGGGCTCCAACCAAAGGAGCAGCAGCCAGAACACCTGGTTTAGGCTCAGGAGCGGCGAAGACTACGGCCAACAGGGCGGCGAAAACAACCTGAAAACAAAAAGACAAAATTAGTATATGATAGACAAACCAATTCTTTAATTCTTACGTATTTGAACATGTCGATGGATTTTTCTTGGATGCTTTGATTGCTGAAATCAAATTGATGTCTTCCGTTTACCGTCTTCGAGTTTATATACTGTTTGGGAATTGATGACGGCGGTGATGACCTCCGGTAAACGAAAGAAATGGAAACGCATGGACAATATCCAGTTTCGCAAGCGTCGGAACACACGCACACTTTTTCGTTTCCTTCTCCAAGGAATTCGCATTGATTTAAATTGTATTCGGCTCGCGAATAAAAGTGTTAAAAAACAACAAGACAAAGACAAGAAAGTCGAGTTTCGGAATGTTTATAAATAAAACAGGCGTGCGTTCTTGTTGTTCAATTTTAAATGATTTAAATTTCGTTATGTAAACTATTTTCGTTTTGCATTTTGCGAGTTTGGCGATTGTCGCGAAATAGTTGAGCCGTGAGCAAACGAATTTAATATTAACTAGAGGGAAATATACATATTAATACATGCTAACTAGATAAAAAGTATGACACACCTGCGGATGTTAGAATCGTTAAACTTATTTGGTTGGACATACTTGGAAAGTATAATAAGACATTTTATTTAGATAAATCATAAGGATATAATTGATGATTGCATTTTATGTTTAATTTCTTACAATAGTTAAACAACGTGCATATTAATGGGTGATTAACAACCCTGTTAACATGTAGTAAATAGACAGTTATAATATTTGAGTGTACAACTACTTTAAATATTATTTTTGTAAAATTAATGTAAATGTTTCAGGCTTTTATTGAGTTTCTTATGTTTATTAATTTATATAGTGTAAATATTTTGAATATTTGAAAATTCTATAATTAATATGAATTTGGTTTGAAAATTTGTAGCCAACTTAATTAAAAGTTACTATCCACCTTTTTTATGGTTCTTAATTTATATGCTGTAAACATTTTGAAAATTGTATAATTGGTATGACCTACCAACTTAATTAATTAAAGTTACTATCTTTCTTGTTTATGCATCCTAATTTATATGATGTAAACATTTTGAAAATTGTATAATTGCTATGAATTTAGTTAAAGAAAATATATCTACTAACTTAATTAATTAAAAGTTAATATCTTTCTTTGTTTATGGTTACTAAAATTATATGGTGTCAATATTATGAATATTTGGAAAATGAATAATTGCTATGAAAATGGTTAAAGAAAATGTAACAACCAACTTAATTAATTAAAAATTATTATCTTTCTTTGTTTATGGATCCTAATTTATATGATGTAAACATTTTGAAAATTGTATAATTGCTATGAATTTGGTTAAAAAAAATATAGCTACCAACTTAATTAATTAAAAGTTACTATCTTTCTTTGTTTATGGATCCTAATTTATATGATGTAAACATTTTGAAAATTGTATAATTGCTATAAATTTGGTTAAAGAAAATATAGCTACCAACTTAATTAATTAAAGTTACTATCTTTCTTTGTTTATGGTTACTAAAATTATATGGTGTCAATATTATGAATATATGAAAAATGAATAATTGCTATGAAAATGGTTAAAGAATATGTAACTACCAACTTAATTAATTAAAAGTTACTATCTTTCTTTGTTTATGGATCCTAATTTATATGATGTAAACATTCTGAAAATTGTATAATTGCTATGAATTTAGTTAAAGAAAATATATCTACCAACTAAATTAATTAAAGTTACTATCTTTTTTAGTTAATGGTTAAATTATATGGTGTCAATATTATGAATATTTGAAAAATGAATAATTGCTATGAAAATGGTTAAAGAAAATATAACTACCAACTTAATTAATTAAAATTTACTATCTTTCTTTGTTTATGGATCCTAATTTATATGATCTAAACATTTTGAAAATTGTATAATTGCTATGAATTTGTTTAAACAAAATATATCTACCAACTTAATTAATTAAAGTTACTATCTTTCTTTCTTTATGGTTACTAAAATTATATGGTGTCAATATTATGAATATTTGAAAAATGAATAATTGCTATGAAAATGATTAAAAAAAATATAACTACCAATTTAATTAATTAAAATTTACTATATTTCTTTGTTTATGGATCCTAATTTATATGATGTAAACATTTTGAAAATTGTATAATTGCTATGAATTTGGTTAAAGAAAATATATCTGCCAACTTAATTAATTAAAGTTACTATCTTTTTTAGTTTATGGTTACTAAAATTATATGGTTTATATAATATTATGAATATTTGAAAAATGTATAATTGCTATGAATATGGTTAAAGAAAATATAGTTACCAATTTAATTAATTAAAATCACTACTTTTAGTTGCATACAGTTATTCATTTCAATGGTGTTGTTATTTTGAAAATTATATATTTATTGTGGATTTGAACAAATTGAGTTTGGTTGCCAACTTAAATAATTTTCATCGAGGCAAAATTAGAGCGAATAAAGATTTAGAAACAAATAATAGAAAATTGAATATATTTATTTCATATTCTATGTTCAATTAAGAATGTATAGTATTTGGAAGATTATTTAGACTTTAGTTTTTATAGGATAATTTTAAAATTGTAAAATTTAATGAAAAATAAAAAAAATAGATGTTAGATTTTTGTTGAAATTAATATAGGATATGTATAAATACAGTCAATATCATAACTTTTGTGTATTGTTCTAAATCTCTGTTAAATTTGAAATTATTTACAGATTTAGTTTACCTTCTCTGTATATTCAATCAGTTTAAATTTTATTAAAATATGTTATATTAAGGATATATAATATTTATAAGGTAATAATATATGCACAAGTTTCAGTGTTATTGAGTCTTTATTTCATTCTTTGATTTTGTTGATGTCTTCAGTAATATTTAACAATTGGTGCGGTGTACGGAGAGTAAGCAGAATAAGCGTATGGAGAAGCGTATCCAGCGGAGTAAGCATAAGGAGATGCTACGTATGGAGCGGCGTAAGCGGCCTTAACGATTGGGCTGGTGTAAGCGGCGGAGTAAGCCAACGGTGAGGTGTAAGCCAATGGCGAAGTGTAAGCCAATGGAGCACCAATCAGAGGAGCAGCAGCTAAGACACCTGGTTTAGCCTTAGGCTCTGGTGCGGCGAAGACAACGGCCAAAAGGGCGGCGAAAACAACCTGTAAATAGATTATAAAAATTATGAATAGTTTACAGTAATTACAAACAATAATGGAAACTTACGTATTTGAACATATTGCAGTTTGGTTTATTTGATTGATAAGATCAAAATGATAAGGTTCGATTGAAAGCGATGAGTTTATATACTTCTTGGAAATGTTTGAAAAGTGGGAGGAATGAGACGACGCGGAGTGTGGCCTTGCTGCAGTCGTGAAAAACTTGCTCAACTTTTGTTTTCATATTGTATTGTATTAACAACGAATTTATTTCTCATGTTTCAACTTCAAATAACATAAAGATAATATTGATCTTTTGAATACACACATAAAATTAAATTACTTAATTAGAAATAATCTTAAATAATGAAAATTTTAACCATACAATATGATAATATAACAGTTTCTCTTTGTATAATTGAAAAATCATAAAATTTGGATTATCTGTACATAAAATACTTAAGCTCGAGATAAATTAAATTAAACTTTTTTATTTACAAATTATTAGTAAAACTATATTGAATGAAATAAGTTTCAAATAAATTTGCTTCTTCTTGTATATTTTGTATATTTTAAGTGAATAAAAACGTTTAAAAGAGAAGCAACAATATTGTAATATACAGTGAAACCTCGCTTAACGAGATTAATCCATTCTAAAATTTCCGAATTTTTACTTGTATAGTAAAACAATTTTCCCTATATAAACTCCATTTTGGAGTCATTTTTCTTATAATTTATTTTGCTCGTTAAGCGGGGTTTTACTATATATTCAAAATAAATGAATGATTGAATAAAATTGAATTGATATTGATCAATAAAAACGATGGCTAAAAGATCTAAAAAGATTTTATTTTCCTTGGATATTATAAGATTATAATGGATCATCGATTGCATAAACATGAGCAGAAGCCGTGACCTTGCAGCGTTAATGAAAGACGTAACAATGACCAATTGCCCAACATACCAAAAATGAAACTGGAATTTCGATGCGCAACAATTAACGCAGGACATTGGCTTCTAGTTATACAATAATTTATACGTATTCAATATGTGTTTTGCATACGTAATTCAATAATTGAATATTAATTAAGTTAAAAAGAAACTAATAATTAATTAATCAATTTGTTTTCTATATTATATGTTTAGCATTGAATGTATTTACGCAAATTGAATTGCAATTACGTTTAGGCGATTAGTGAAGTTGGCAAATTTACAATTTGTAAATACAGTGGAACCTCGCTTATCGTTCCAAAATTTCCGGATTTTTCTCGTATAGTAAAATATTGGTATAGTGAAATACGTTTCCCATATAAAGTAATGTCATGTAATGTAAGGAAAGTATAATTTGGTCTAGATTTTTAATGATTTTGCTTTTCATATCTATGGTTCTTTCTATTCTTTGGCTTTTTATTCGGAGACATGCAAGTATTATTAAATTTTGCACAAAAAACACAAATAACATGTGTTAACATAAGTTTGCAAATTTTGTGATCACAAACAACACTAAGATGCAACTAGAATGACCACTAACACTAAGAACTGTTTTCCAATTCTCACACGGTAAAGTGAGTTTATATTTGTTTATATTACTTGTATCAATTCGGGTACTTAATGGAGGTCTCTTTATTCTTTTAATATTTGTTTATATAAAAAAGCGTACATAGTGTATTTATATATTATAACAATGGTTAAACAAAGATGACACAAGTTTTGAAAATGATGTAGCAGGCGCGCAATCCGAGACTTCTTTTCTCGTCGTCTTTCGTTATGCGACTCATTTTTCTTATAAATCATTTTGCTCGTTAATTGAAATGATCGTTAAGCGATGTTCCACTGTACTTGATTTAGCAACAAATTTAGAAAAAATCATGTAATCTGGAAAAATAAACATTGAAGCAAATAGAGTATTTAAGATAAGCTAAAGAGTTACTGATATTATTGTAATGAATGGAAATTGGATTATTATTTTATAGAGAAATTAGGGAAATGGAGTATTTGGAAGGTTATAAGGTTTAGTCTTTATTTTTTATAGGATTTTTTTTAAAGTCGTCAGTAATTTAAAGATTGTAAAATTTGACCATAAATCAAAAACTTTGCATGTTACATTTTTGTTGAGTAAACGAAATATTACTTATTAATACATAATATGTATATATACAATAATTCTATAGTCAATATCATAACTTTTGTGTATTGTTATAAATCCTTATGAAATGTTCATGACTGTCAAGATGATATTATTTTATTGAATGAAAATTGTATTATTATTTTTTTAAAGAAAGTCAGGACAAACTGAATAACATAAAAAATTTATAAACAAATACAAGACTTGTTTGTTTAAATATTAATAATTACTTGTATATTATTACATTAATTAAATTAATATATATATAAATACGTTATGCGAAACGTCGCTCGTTAAGCGAATCAATTAAGTGAAATGTTTGTTATGCGAGGTGCGAGGTTCTCTGTATATTCAAAAATACACATAATATGTGTACACAAGTTTTCAAAATGATGTAGAAGGCGCGCAATCCAAGACTTCTTTTCTCATCGTCACTCGATATGCGAAACGTCGCTCGTTAAGCGAATAATTTTTCTTAAAATTCATTTTGCTCCGTTAAGTGAAATGTTCGTTATGCGAGGTGCTCGGTAAGCGAGGTTTTCTGTATATTAAAAAATACACATAATATGTGTACACAAGTTTTCAAAATGATGTAGAAAGCGCGCAATCCAAGACTTCTTTTCTCATCGTCACTCGATATGCAAAACGTCGCTCGTTAAGCGAATCATTTTTCTTACAATTCATTTTACTTGTTATTCGAGGTACTCGTTAAGTGAGGTCCCACTGTATTGATGAATTCGAAATTCAGTTGTGGATTTAGGATCCATTTTTTTTTACAAATACTCTACAAATGCGTTCTTTGTTATACAACTAAATTGTAGAAATAAATAAATATCAGTAAAGGTTTAATGAACACTATTTACTTACTCTTTAATTATATATGAAAAAAGCTTAACTTTACATTTTTTTCTTTCGTTTATTATATTGAACTATGTTCTAAATGCAATAAAATGCAAACAATTGCAATGGAATACGATGCGGTGCGTCGTGAAGGAATGCGAATGAAATTCTCCAGCAAATGTCTCGTCGCTGCAACCCGGTTTTGTCAATAGTTGAGTAATTGTCCATTTCCCCCCATTTTACTTTTCATTACCAAGACGAGGCCAGAACTCGGACCTTCCTCTCCCACCCGCTTTACAAAGTATAAAAACTCGAAGCGTCCGAGGCAAAGTCATCAATTTGATCTTAGCAATCAAACGACCAAACCAAATCAACATGTTCAAATACGTAAGTCTTCAGCATTTGTTTGTAATAACGATGAAATTGTTAATTTAATCTATTTACAGGTCGTATTCGCCGCTCTTTTGGCTGTAGCCTTCGCCGATCCCGAACCTAAAGCTAAACCAGGTGTTCTGGCTGCAGCTCCTCTGATCGGTGCTCCATTGGCTTACACTTCGCCATTGGCTTACACTTCACCGTTGGCTTACTCCGCCGCCTACTCCAGCCCAATCGTTAAGACCGCTTACGCCGCTCCATACGTAGCATCTCCTTATGCTTACTCCGCTGGATACGCTTCACCGTACGCTTACTCCGCTTACTCTCCGTACACCGCACCAATTGTCAAATACTACTGAAAACATCCACGAAATCCAGGAATGAAATAAAGACTAAATAACTCTGAAACTTATTTGTACATCAATCATTTATTACCACCATCCAACTATTGCATATTACAGTATAAATAAATTCAATTTCAATAATAAATATTTATTGAAACAGTCACATATAAACTAATAACAAAATTGAAACATATTTAGATTTGAAATTTATGATTCAACTATAAATCTATAATTTATTAGTATTTCCATCAGGTCTCGAGACTTTTATTCGTGTAAGTTTAGACACATTATCTTATTCTTATAAAATAACTTACACCTCTTTGTTTTTCAAGAGAATTTAATTTAATATGATTTTGAACATTCGCAAACTATTTTTAGTTATTACTTTCACACAGATTTTGAATTATTCATTGCAAAATTAGCTTTTTCTTCTCATTTTTTTTTGTGTGTCTTTTAATTCATACAGATTAGTTCAAAAGACGTTTTATTTTTTATTTAAATAAGTTACCAGTAAACTTCACAATTATCTGAATATTTTCTGTTCGAGTTGTCGAAAACAATTAATTATTGTCTAAGTCTGCTGAAGATTTTTTTTTTAATTGCAATTTAAAATAAGTTTCTTAATGTTAAGTTAAGTATTATATATAATAATATAATTAGTGTTCAATAGTAATTATTAATATTTAAACAAACAAGTCTTGTATTAGTTTTTAAACGTTTTATGTTCTTCAGTTTGTCCTTACTTTCTTTAAAAAATAATAATACAATTTTCATTCAATACAATAATATCAGCTTGACAGTCACGGAATTTCATAAGGATTTAGAACAATACACAAAAGTTTTGATATTGACCATATCAATTGTTGTATTTGTACATATTCTATATTAATAAGTAATATTTCGTTTACTCAACAAAAATGTAACATGCAAAGTTTTTGATTTTTAGTCAAATTTTACAAACAATTTAAAATTACTACAAAAAATCCTATAAAAAATAAAGACTAAACCTTATAATCTTCCAAATACTATACATTCTTAATTGAACTAATTAATCTAATTTTCTCAATTTGACTAATATCTCTATAAAATAATCATATAATAACTTCTAACATGAAACTACTTTACAATTATGGGAAACTCTTTAGGCTTATATTAAATACTCTATTTTCTTCAATGTTTGTTTTTCCAGATTGTACGATTTTTTCTAAATTTGTTGCTAAATCAAGTACAGTGGAACATCGCTTAACGAGCACCTCGCATAACGAGCAAAATGAGATGTAGGAAAAATGATTCGCATAACGAGTGACGATAAGAAGAGAAGACCCGGATTTCGTGCCAGCTACATCATTTTTAAAACTTGTGTACACATATTATGTGTATTTTTGAATTTGTTTCACTATACGAGTAAAAATCCGGAAATTTTGGAACGGATTAAACTCGTTAAGCGAGTTTAAAGCGTATTTTAATGATCTCAAAATATTTGTAAGTAAAATTACAAAACAAATAAAAACTATAGTATAATAATAAATATTAGATATGACGATTTATTTCAGGCAAAAAAATAAGATAATTATAATATGATTTAACTGATTTATATATGAGTTTAAATTATCAAAAAAAAATTATTTGAAGCTTAGTAAAAATCTCTGAAAAACGATATAATAAATATTTCAATGAATTTCGAAATTTTATCACAGTTGGAAAAGTATTAATTATATAAAAATTACCAGTTTGAAATATCCATTTATTGTTGGTAATTTTATTTAAATTTGACTCAATAAAAATTAATTTAAAAAGTTATTAAATAATGTGCTTCAATTGTTAGTTATTGTTATATTTATTTACGGAATAGAATTATT